CGTCCTTCGGTAGGTATTCGTTTTGGCCCCCCCCCCGCTCCCCTCCATTTAACAGTAACATAACCATCTGCCTCCTGCTTTAACACTAAACGCATTACCACGCCGTTTATACCTTTGGCATTATCGTTAACGCCAATTACTTGACATTTTATATGACTTAACACCATACTGTTTATCCTATGTATAGTTGATTGTCCCCCTTTTCTGGTAATAACGTCCCTTTTTGTTCACCTAACCCCTTCTCATTTGTTTACATTTCCTATATTGGGCCCGCGAAAAGTGACATTATCTCGCTGCTTCCAGACTTGGAAACTTTGTGTCTAAGAGTAGTATTTTTGTTTTTCTCAATCTCCAATTACAGAAACGTTCTCAGCAATTTGATACTGTTATTGTTAAGGGAGATCGCGTCTACACAAGTTAAAAGGTAACAACCAGACCAGCCTGAAGCATCTGGTTAATTATAGAATCCGAATATTCTACACTCCCTATAGGCTGGATTAATGTAGTGGCCTTCAGTTGGTCATTATTTACACCGAATTATGACCTTTGCTGTCCCTTTAAATAAATCCTGCTGTTTACGATTGTTTTAAATAGGGCTATTTTCCCAGCGACCACATCTAACTCTTGCCACTAACATCAGGGGACTCCTATTTTTGTTTATATCGGCAAGTCAAGTTTGTTTCAGAACACCCAACACGTTACTGGGCACGCATAGGCAGCCAGTTATGTGAGCGATAGCAGTGCTCGGCAACTGAGCGAAATACAATTTGACTGACGTTAATAGAAACCCTTTTTACCAGACATGACCGATCGCACACTTCTAAAATGGGCAACATACAGATAGAGGGCATCTTAAGAGTTAAACGTACCGAGAGAATTTGTGGGTCAGGGCAGGTTTCGGGAGACTGCAGCCATAGACTGCCCGGCTGCCCCTCCCTCAAACACTTTTCTCGAGTGATACACAAACCGGCGGACAACACATCGTCAGGAAGACACCAGCCGGCATGGAAGCGGGCCGGCAGTGCAAGGCAGCTGTCACAGTGTTGGGCCATGCGAGAGGTCTCGAAAACTTCCACTGTAAGGGGGGGGAGGGGGGGGAAACAAGTAGGATATAGCAGCTTCCAATAGGGGAAATCAAAATCAGGAAAGCGTTCGGTTCGAAGTCGTGACTACTAATTGCAGCCTCAGCGACGCTGCCCAATCCACGTCAGAGTGTCAAACAATCGCACGCAGTTCAATAACGCTAGATTTTAGCATTTTGTCACAAAATGACAATGGCCTGTGGGCGGATGTGGATTTGCTGGTTTACCGGTTTTACGAGCCTACTCGAAGCTGGCGCACAGAGGAGTTCTTGCTCTACCCTTCGTCTCTGTGGCATCATTAAATGGTCGAGACAGCGAAAATATGCCACTTTCACTTATACAACCTGTCTGTCGTTTGGGCTGTTCAACTCGATTAACTTCTGGGGGGGGGTTGGCCTGATTGGACAATAATTGACAGAGTAGTGGGGGGAGGGAGAGAGAAAAAGCAAACAATGAAAAAAGTACAAATTCGCACAAAGAATGCGCGGAAAATATGTACGTAAGAAGTGCACATTGGGTGAGCCACCTTGGGAAGGATGGGTGCGCCAAATACAGATTGACAATTAGCTCAGGCGTCGCAAACTATAACACGCCTGAAGTCTCTGTCAATTCATCAACGGAAAAAAAGAGGTTGATGGATGAATCGCAAATAGTCCTGGATGGCGGAGTGCGGCTGTCAAAACTACACTATAACAAAAGTCATGCCTTCAGGTGCAAAGCACGACACTGAGAAAATTCTTGAGGAATTTGAGGTGTGGCAATATAGCTGGTTTCTTGCCTCTGGATGCATGTGCTTTAAGAGTTACATCTTAGTACAGCAGTTCTGAGGGGCAGTTTTCACCTTTTTGACGTGTGAAGCCGGTTTCTTCAGTTGAAAAATAAAAAACCTCGAATCCTCCTGACTGGTTTTCAAGTGTCAATAATTGGTTGTACTCAGACGGAAAAGGTGATGGGTTGCAGTCTCGCATCAGATAAAGCGATGTCAGAATTTACATTGCAGTGCGCTACACACGATCAGCCTTCTCGACTGCATGACATAAGTGTTTAAGTACGTTGGCCGTCAACGAACACAACCTGATATCATCGGATCCTTTGAAGTGATATCCATCAGTGATATTTATCGCACTTCCCTAACATGTAACAGCAGGTTAACTTCTGTACTTTTCACTTAATTCGGATATACCCCTTCCAGCCTAAGTTCGGTATTTTCCCAAAGCTCTATGTTGTCACTAGGGCTAAGCTTAGTCCCAATTTTTTTCCGAGTGATAATCCCAGATTAATTTGAAGGGATTGATGCAAAAGAAATTGTGACAATAATCGTGCAGGTGATATACGTTTACGGGGGTGTATGGAGAGACCAGAAAGGAGTAGTTGGTAGACAGTCGAACCAAAGTACTGGGCTATGAGAGTTAAAAATCCAACTTGTGGATCCCAACTGGCACCTATTTCCCACCTCTGACTCCCTGAAGTTGTGCCGAGGGCCGAAGCTGAACCATAGCCATCCCTAAGACTTTCCAACGAGCCAGTGGCCACTCTTTCCATGCGCCGATAACTCTGTGCAAAGTCCAGTTTGGTTATGGAGAGAAGGGCTGGACGTGTTGTGACAAGCATAAAGAGGCTTATGTCACCGGCTTCTCGCTCTCTTCTGGTCCAATGCCCCCTGAAGGGTGTAATATAATGCCGCTGAATATTGCGTCACCATTGCATTGGGCGTCATTTCTAGGGGCCCTGACAACAGCTGTAGCAGAAAGTAGTATAGGCAGATAGTTTTGCCGACAGAAATAAGGCAGACTAGAATGAAAATTTCTGGCTTATTAGCCGGTCATCAGCCAGTCATACCCAGACTTAAGAGGTGCACCCCCGAGCCTCGACTTCGCGACCTTTCGATCAGAGTCTAACACCCTAAACGTTGATCCATTAGCTTGTTGTCTTGTTGGTTTATGTCAGGAGATATTGACACTCGTTGACGAACGGAACTCACCGCTTACTCACTCAACTATAAGTGTTTTGTCTCGGAAAGCAGCCATGAAAGATGGATACCTTGTGTAATATAAATTGCTTGTCCCTAAAGATGCCTTAGTGGCCTAGACACATCTGAATTGTCAGAGGTTTCACAAATTTTAGGTAACATTAG